TCGTTCAACATACACACATGCTGATGCAGCAGTCGTGCTGCGACGGTTCCACCTGTTGCCTCCGAAACGTCGTGATTTTTATTTTATTTTTTATTTTACTTTTATTAATTTGAAAATTTTTACCTACGTGACTTTACCGAAAAAAACCTAAGAATATACATACAACATATGCATATCTCCTTTTATCGATTGTAAGATTTAGACTTTATGTTTATCCTAACCGTTATTTAAACCAAGCTGCCACTCGCATTGAGCGACAGCCCCAGGCAATTGTAACCAACACCAAGCGATGCCTGGACTGGCAATATCGGCAGGTATCACTTGATACCATCATTGTGAGCCCAGCAGTTCTGCCGATATCACCATTAGGGGCCGTCCATAAATGACGTCACGCGATTTTGGACGATTTTGACCCCCCCCCCCTCGTCACACGGCGTCACGAAAAGTCTGACCCCCCCTCAAATATGACGTCACAAAGCTCTGCTCTGCCCCCCCCCCCAAAACCATATTTCCAATTAGAAAATAAAACATGCTTCAAATCGCTTTAAACTATTGTCAGTGTAGTGCGTATTTAATGTGGCGCTGCACTCTGATGTTGTAGGAGAAAACATTTATTAAAAAGTCTAAATAAGTAAGTAGAACGTGTTGTCTATATTTATTTAAAGTTGCGACTTTTCATGTTACGTCACATTTCTCAACCCCCCCCCCCCCTCGTCACACATCGTCACAAATGTCTGACCCCCCCCACCCCCCCTAGGTGCGTGACGTCATTTATGGACGGCCTCTTATTACAGCTGTACCATTACACATGGGTGCAGGCAGTGGCACGGTCGTGAGCGCAGTGCTCAATGGGAATGTGGAATCCTCCATCGATCGTGACAGGCGAGCGCTGCTCCGCTACGTGCCCGAGCAGGAGAGATGCCCCCGAGTTTGACCCGAGCAGGGCTCAGCGCGAGTGGTAAACACGCGGTTTTCCCTTCCTTAATCAGTAGAGACCAGAGAAAGAAAGATATCTTCCCCACAACCACCACCACCACCACCACCTCTATCTCCCACGGCACAAAGTTCCAGCGTTCTCATTATGGGCTCGTGCGAAGCTGTTGGGCAACTCTTCCTATTACGGAATTTATTTTCTGAAAGTGAACTTTGGAACGGGATAGAGGGAGTGGCAGATTGGGCGGACGCGCGCGTGCGGCTCAACAGACTCGGCATTGTGTTGCGGCCCGTGGAAATTATCATAATTATCCACGGTCCTTTGCGACATTTGGGTATTTCGACATTCATTCGAAAATGAGCGCGGCCGTCGAGCGGCCCGAATGCGCTGACGCACGCAACGTGCACGCGGACCCGAGCACCACAAAGACAAAGATCCCCCGTGTAGCCTCAACAGACTTTTGGGGCAAGTGCCGTTAGCGAGCTCCTATGAAGGCCGGCACGGCACACGAGGGGGTGGGTGGTCAGCAATACGCCCGGCCGCCTTTGTCTCCCCGGTGGCGATGTTGAGATACCGCACCAGATACTTATTTGAGGCTGAATCGATATAGGGGAGGCCCAGGATCGGTTCAGATAATTATCAGTGGTGTTAGCCGTGAGTGGGAATCAAACTCGGGTCGCCGGGTTCGTAGTGTAGACCGTTAACTGCTGTACTACTGCTTACACACACACACAAATCCATACACAATGACACACGTAAAAATGCACATATAAAGGCACATACACGCACAAAACGCAAAGACACACAAATGCAGACGTATATAAACATTCACAAAAACACACAATGCACACATATACATAAACGCACACCACAAATACACACAAAAGCACATAGACGCAGACACAAACCTACACATAAAACACCCCGAGACACATAACGATGAGAACATTGTGGTGATATCCACCCAACACAAAGCCACACACAACAACAAATACATTAAAATAACAGACATCACATGAACAGGGACACCACCAACACATCGGCACGCTCGCACTTGTGCCCCTGTGGCTCAAGTGCACGTGGCTCAAACCCAAACACCGCAACGCCTCCTGGCTTTCACATTCCTTCCTTCTAGATTTGAAGCTTTCGTGACTGCAAGGATTCATATTCTTAGGTTTTTTCGGTAAAGTCACGTAGGTAAAAACATTAAAATTAATAAAAGTAAAATAAAAATCACGACGTTTCGGAGGCAACACAAGCTTCCGTCTTCAGGTGGAACCGTCACAGCCACGACAGGTGTATCAAGTAAATGAGAGATTGCAGGAGCTACCACTCCGTATATATAATGGATTGGAGAGGGGGGAAGGGCCAAGTGCAGCACACTTTTTATTCATATGGTAAGGTGAGGCTTAAGAGGGTGAGCCTTTGTTATGGTTTGTGACAACTAAACATGGTGAACATGGTAAACATGGTACACCTGTAATAGTTGTCTGTCAAATAATAAATAAGATTGGTCAAATAAGTGTAGTTAAATCTTCTTTGCATGGTTAATCACATCTTTCCAATGATTACTCAGGAGGAATATTTCACATTCCTCCTCTTACTCCTGCTGCTCGAAGACAACACTGGTGGTGCTGGTGGTGGTGGAACCCCCCCCCATCAAAACACCAACAGGCCGATGCGCACATCCACACATCAGAAACGTCTCCATATATATTTTTTGAGACCGTCTCATTTGCAATCGTTCGATCGTTGTTTCCGCCACCTTCATGATAAGTCTTGGTACAAACTACAGCCACAATTCATCTTCTTGGTTCTTTCGGTAAAAGTCACGTAGAATGGAAATAATAAAACATAATAAAATCATTCTCACGACGTTTCGGCCACAACGCAAGCAGCCGTCCTCAGGTGAAGAACAGGTCTGTCGAGACGACAGAATCATGTTTTATTATTATTTTATTATTTCCATTCTACGTGACTTTACCGAAAGAACCAAGAAGATGAATCCCTGCAGTCACGAAAGCTTTAAATCGAAAAATAAAGCCAAAATTGTGAACCGTCCATGGATCGGCGTGCTCACTTTCAAACGATTGTGAGGGGGTCACTGTCGCCGCTGCGCCGGTGAGTGAAACGTTACACGACTGCCAATATAAAACATCTTTGATATTTTGCCTCATCAGAAGATAGAAAAATTACCACCTTTTTTAAAAATTCCAGTCGCTGTCTTTCACGACGCTTTAAATCAGTGTCACGTCGGACGATGAGAACATTTTAAGAAACACGACGCTTCGTAGAATTCCGGCCGCTATTTCTTTATTTTTGCCCATCAGCCCGCTCGCGACTCCATGGACACAGCCTGATGGACACGATTACAAATGTCACTCGTGTGCACACGATCCGGCAATAAAAAAATACACGCTCTTGAACAAGACCCCGATTCTCAAAATAGCAAAACAGTCGTTCATTGAATTACATTAAGGGGAGACTGGTCCCCACCATAGTAATGTGGAATTTCCACTACTGGGTTCTCGAGATCTAATACAGATGAACGCGTCCCAGAGCGTAAACTTGTGCATACGTTATCAATGCAATTTAAACAAATCGATTTGTATCGGAGAGTAATTCGTAACATACTGCGCAAGAATTAACGCGAAAAGCTTTGGTTCAGGCACCAGCACCAAGAAAATGCGGCGGCACTGCTGTCGTAGAAATGGGCACCACGACCTGCTTTTAATCAATCTAATTGCCAGAAAATCAAGGGGTGTAAACACGAGGATATATGTACACACACGCACGCACGCAAACACAAATAAATAACGGTGTGCGACAATTTAGAACCGAAATGACTGACGCGATCACCCATTGAGGAGGGTACTGACACACACCGGAGGGAGGGAGGAGGGTGGTGGCTGTGGTGTTTATGCCACCGCTTGCGACAGACGCTGAATCACGGCCGAGTCAACCTACACAGAGAGGCCCCAAGCCAAGCCCAGAACCCAACACACGCGTCTGTGATGCCACCCGTCGCCGGATGGATGACATCACACGGCCGCCCGATTTGGAGCCCACCATACACTTGCAGACACTTATTGCTCTAAGACAGGGGTTCTTAACTGTTACTTCGGCCTTGCACCCCCCCCCCCCCTTTGGTTCTCAATCGTTAAAAAAAATAGATGTTAATAAATACATAAAGGTTTGATTAAACAAAGTAGTTGTACTTACGTGCCCGTGTTCAGAGTGTGTTTCTATGATTTACCTTCTGGCATGTCTCGCACCCCAGGTTAAGAAGATCCACTGCTTTAAGCGGTGTAGGCTGCCAATTGAAGGAACACATTTGGCCGCGTAAAATGTCGTCGAAATTTAGGGGGAAGAACATTGTTTTAATGCAATCATTGCCATGTAAATCGTAAGTGATACAAGGGTACAGCAAATTGGGTGTACGAACCACTGTATCACCGCTCCCCAGCTGCGTTGGAGCAGAGGACATGAGAGTGCTTAGATGACACACACAGCCACACACACACGCCACACACACACAGCCACACACACACCACACACACACCACACACACACACCACACACTACACAGCCACACACACACATCACACACGCCACACCACACCCAAAACACCCCACACACCACACTCCACACACGCCCCACATCACACACCACACACCTATCACACACAGACACACTACACCCAACACACACGCCACACACACACCACAAACACACGCCACACACCCCCCACACACCCCACACACCACCCACACACACACACACGCCACACACACACAACCCATGCCACACCACACACACACACACACCACACACACACCCCACACACACGCCCCACACACACGCCCACCACACACACACCACACACACACACAGCACACACACACACACCCACACACAACACACCCCACACACACAACACACACACACCCCACACACACACCCCACACACACACCCACACACACATATCACACCCAAAACACCCCACACACCACACACGCCCCACATCACACACCACACATCACACACCCCCCCCCCCCCCACACACAGACACACCACACCCAACACACACACCCCACCCACACCACAAACACACCACCCACACCACAAACACACCACCCACACACCCCACACACGCACGCGATCACTGAGGTTATCAATTAGCTCAGCACACTCATGCGCTCCACTTTCACACACAGACATTCCCACCCAGCCCACTCAATTCCATCTGCAGATCGCAGAGCCACCACCCCCCTCCCCCCTGCACCATGGCTCTGCCAGGCTTCTCACGCCCCTCACTGCTCAGCCCCTCTGCGCGATGTCCACTCGGAAGCGTGACTCATCTCCGTCCACTCCGTCGGCACGGCTAAGAGCCTGTGGGGGAGACAGTGTGGATGATGAGTATGCGGGCGAGTGGATGTGTTCATGAGTGTGAACACGAGTGTGCTCGGCCAACAGCACTTGCCACAACAGTCTATTAAGGCTATACGGGGGGACCTTTAGTCTTTTTGTTTGTGTATACAAGGGTATGGATGAGTGTGCTGATGACTGCGTTTGTGTGTGAGTATGGGTGAGTGTGTTGGCTGGTGGGTGAGTGAGAGGATGTGTGAGTGTGTTTGTTATTGGGTGTGTTAGTGAGGGTATTGGTGTGTGTGTTGTTAGCGGTAGTGTAGTGGTTAGCGCGCTGCGCTATGAATCCAGCGAGCCGGGTTCGATCCCTGTTCACGGCCAACACCAGTGACGATTATCTGATCCGGTCCTGTGTGTCCCCTAGGTCGACTCAGCTTCAAATCAGCACCTGGTGCGGTGTGTAAACTTCAAACACTAGGGAGACAAAGGCGGCCGGGCGTGATGATGGCCAGCTACCCCCTGGTGTGCCGTGCCGGCCTTCATAGGTGCTCGCTAACAGCACTTGCCCCAACAATCTGTTAAGCTATATGGGGGATCTTTGTCTTTTGTGTGTGTTGGTAAGTAGGTAAGTGGGTAAGTGGGTTAGTGGGCATGCGAGAGAGAATGTGCTGGTTAGTGGGCGTGTGAGCATGGGTGAGTGTGCTGGTAAATGGGTTAGTGGGCATGTGAGTATGGGTGAGTGTGCTGGTAAATGGGTTAGTGGGCGTGTGAGCATGGGTGAGTGTGCTGGTAAATGGGTTAGTGGGCATGTGAGCATGGGTGAGTGTGCTGGTAATTGGGTTAGTGGGCATGTGAGCATGGGTGAGTGTGCTGGTAAATGGGTTAGTGGGCATGTGAGTATGGGTGAGTGTACTGGTAAGTGGGCGTGTGAGTATGGGTGAGTGTGCTGGTTAGTGGGCGTGTGAGTATGGGTGAGTGTGCTGGTAAGTGGGCGTGTGAGTATGGGTGAGTGTGCTGGTTAGTGGGCGTGTGAGTATGGGTGAGTGTGCTGGTAAGTGGGCGTGTGAGTATGGGTGAGTGTGCTGGTTAGTGGGCGTGTGAGTATGGGTGAGTGTGCTGGTTAGTGGGCGTGTGAGTATGGGTGAGTGTGCTGGTTAGTGGGCGTGTGAGTATGGGTGAGTGTGCTGGTTAGTGGGCGTGTGAGTATGGGTGAGTGTGCTGGTTAGTGGGCGTGTGAGTATGGGTGAGTGTGCTGGTTAGTGGGCGTGTGAGTATGGGTGAGTGTGCTGGTTAGTGGGCGTGTGAGTATGGGTGAGTGTGCTGGTTAGTGGGCGTGTGAGTATGGGTGAGTGTGCTGGTTAGTGGGCGTGTGAGTATGGGTGAGTGTGCTGGTTAGTGGGCGTGTGAGTATGGGTGAGTGTGCTGGTAAGTGGGCGTGTGAGTATGGGTGAGTGTGCTGGTTAGTGGGCGTGTGAGTATGGGTGAGTGTGCTGGTTAGTGGGCGTGTGAGTATGGGTGAGTGTGCTGGTTAGTGGGCGTGTGAGTATGGGTGAGTGTGCTGGTTAGTGGGCGTGTGAGTATGGGTGAGTGTGCTGGTTAGTGGGCGTGTGAGTATGGGTGAGTGTGCTGGTAAGTGGGCGTGTGAGTATGGGTGAGTGTGCTGGTTAGTGGGCGTGTGAGTATGGGTGAGTGTGCTGGTTAGTGGGCGTGTGAGTATGGGCGAGTGTGCTGGTAAGTGGGCATGTGAGTGAGAGTATGGGTGAGTGTGCTGGTTAGTGGGTTAGTGGGTGTGCGAGTGAGAGTGCGCTGGTTAGTAAGTTAGTAGGGAGGAGTGAGACTGTGGGGTCAGTGGGCGTGTGAGTGTGCTGGTTAGTGGGTTTGTGGGTGTGGGAGTGAGAGTGTAGGAGTGAGAGTATGGGTGAGTGTGCTGGTTAGTGGGCGTGTGAGTGTGCTGGTTAGTAAGTTAGTAGGGAGGAGTGAGACTGTAGGGTCAGTGGGCGTGTGAGTGTGCTGGTTAGTGGGTTAGTGGGTGTGGGAGTGAGAGTGTGCTGGTTAGTGGGTGTGGGAGTGAGAGTGTGCTGGTTAGTGGGTTAGTAGGGAGGAGTGAGACTGTGGGGTCAGTGGGCGTGTGACAATGGGCGAGTGTGAGGAGGGAGACAGAGTCAGAGTCAGGGGCGCGGCGCCGTCTAATGAGTGAGTCAGACCCTCGAGCTCAGCGACCGTGACAGCCAAAACATTTCCTTTAAAGGTGACGGGAGGGTACGAACACGATTGGCGGAGTAAACGTATCTTCCCCGCTCGCTCCAGAGAGCAATTGGCTGGCAATTATTGCCTTCCACTTAAAATTCTCAGCTGGTAATTGAAATTCCACATGCCTATGGTGGGGACCCGGACTCTCCACGCGAGGCTGGCCTCGGTTTGACAACAAAAATTAACTCAAGGACGGGGGGCGGTCGTGCGACAGGATCTGTCATGAACGCACTCGATGGTTTCTCATTGCCTCACCAGGTGGGAATCTGGCTCACGTGGGAGAACAACAAACAACGGTAAACCTATTCGAGGGGCTGCTCGGTTAAATTTCGATTTAAAGTTTTCGTGACTGCAGGGATTCATCTTCTTGGTTCTTTCGGTAAAGTCACGTAGAAGGGAAATAATAAAATAATACAAATAAAACATAATAAAATACAATTCTCACGACGTTTCGGCCACAATGCAAGCAGCCATCCTCAGCTGTCTTTCCGACAGACCTGTTCTTCACCTGAGACGGCTGCTTGCGTTGTGGCCGAAACGTCGTGAGAATTATTTTATTATGTTTTATTGTATTATTTCCCTTCTACGTGACTTTACCGAAAGAACCAAGAAGAGGGCTGCTCGGTGTTTCGAGGTGTAAAGATTCACGCCACATAATACTGGTAGGAACCTCCTGGTTACACCAGCCCACAGGGAGGGGCTGGGTGGGGAGGGAGGGGCTGGGTGGGGAGGGTGGGGAGGGGCTGGGTGGGGAGGGGCTGGGTGGGGAGGGTGGGGCTGGGTGGGGGGTGGGAGGGGTGGGGCTGGGTGGGGAGGGGCTGGTCACCCCGTGGTGCCCTTATAAAACTCAACGTTTAACCTACTCACGCCGGCTTGTGCCCGCCCTCACAGTCGGGCATATTTGCGGAATACACCACGCCGCCGTTGACCCTGGCCATTGACAGAGCAACCCAACGTTCCTAACAGCTCCCTCCGCAGGAATGTGTTCAGTGATTGGATGAACTTTTACAATTCGAGGCTATGAATAAATGTTATAATAATTTCTCCGTCCCATCTTTACCGTTGTTTTGAAATAAAAAAATGTCTCATTTCCAGTTTTGTTCACTCCAATATGGGTAAATATAACATCAGCATATCATTTACATGAATTGTAAACACTTGATTCTTACATGCGAAATCCGATCGATGCATCCTTCAATGGCTGCTACTGCTGGTACGAAGATAATTAGCGCAGATAATGAACACAAACAATCAAGACTCAAAAATTTCCCACAAACGATGGCGGTGCACATCTCCGCTGACGGGCCCCACTGTTGACTTACCACAGAGCGGGGATTCTGCAGTCAAAATACCGAGGTATTTCTAGACACACATGCCACCCTCCTCCGAGAGCGGTTTATCTTATCGTGCTATCATGTTATCGTGCTTGGAGAGAGCAGTGTGTACCCCCCCCACCCTCTCTCCCAGTGACGCCATGTGTTATACTGGGCAGGATGACCAGGCAGGGAAAGTGAACTAGCAGCAGAAAGCATCACGCGAACTCATCCTCGCAGCAGCGGCTTTTGGCTAGCCATACAACGAAGACGGTCACGGCACCGCACGCTTTCAGATGCGCTTCTGCGGCCGTCTGGAACGCTCTTCCTTCCGATATTAGGACGCCATTGCAGCTATGCACTTTTGAATCTAGATTGAAAACTCATTTCTTTAGAACTGCTTTTTGTGTTTAGTTTGTTGTCCTTCCCCTGCACCTCCGATTATCACGGTAGGCTACGTATGGTGCGAAAGAAGTTCAACATACGTACAACTACGCTGGCCAGAGAGGAGACAATCACTGTGTGGGAGCAGAAACATCTCAGCGGTGCCCTACTGCAACACACGAAACTACAAACTCTTTTAATTGTACCAGGTCAGGCCCAGTGAGCAATGCAGCTCTTTTTGTTCGAAGCGATCTGGCCACAACGGCTCGCTCAACAACGTGGCTTATTGTCACGTGGAAATTGATATCAGCCAAATACTCTTCAACGCATATTGATTTTAAATGTGGAGGGAAAAACCGGAGGACCATGAGGAGAGAGACATGCGAACTTCAAATATACAGCAGGCGTCGGGGCCGGGATCGAACTGACGACCTCCTGCATACCGGGCGAGGTAGTTAACATCTCACCACCATGGCGCCCTACACAACAAGTCACGAACACGGCCACCCGCAAAGGAAAACGTCAACGAATCATCTGGGAACCGCGAGGAGCCGCTATCAAAAGTGACGAGCGTGAGCGGTGGATTGGAGAACACCGACTACCAATAAACTGAACGGCTTTGGCTTGCCTCAATTAGCTGTCATTCTACGAGGGTGTTTCAATAATTTCAATGAAGTAATTGCGTATGTCTTATGTCAGTGCGGTTCCTGTAGAAGCTGTGCACTGAATTTGGTAAAATAAAAAATATTCACAAGGGCTCCACTGCTCTTCTCCTGTGCGGTTGTGAAGGGTACCGCCATCTTTAATCACGTGATATGTTTTCCATAACCGTGGACGGCTGCCTTTGTCTCCCCAGTGCTGATGATTGCACACTGCACCAAGCACTCCTTTAAGGTCCAGTCAACCTAGGGAGGGCCCCGGACCGGTGTGTATAGCACAGAGACAAAGGTCCCCGTTCTAATAGACGTTCTAACAGACTCTTGGGGCAAGTGCTGTGAGCTAGCACCTATGTGTGTTGGCATGGACCACGAAGAGGAAGGTGGCCAGCACCACGCCCGGCCACCTTTGTATCCCCAATACTGATAGTTACACACTGTACCAGGCACTCATTTGTGGCTGAGTTGACAAAAGTGGAGGCCCGGGATCAGTTGAAATATTCGCCACTCTTATTGACCGTGGGCGGGAATTGAACTCCGGTCGCCAGGGTCGTGGCGTAGCGGAGCGCGCTAACCGCTCCACCACCGCTCCCCACCATAGATGACAAAGATCCCCCGTGTAGCCTTAACAGACTGTTGGGGCAAGCGCTGCTAGCTAGCGAGCACCTATGAAGGCCGGCACGGCACACGAGGGGGTGGGTGGCCAGCACACACACACGCACATCTCACGCATGCACGGGCTGAGCAGTGAAGTGGTGTCAGCACCTTCTGCCTGGGGGATGTCTTATCAGCATTTGTGAAAAGCGTTTGTACAAATTCCCCTGCGCTCCTTTCCAAACAATGGAAGCCCCCATACGGGAGAAACATTAACCCTGAACTCTGACCTCTACAAGCACCCTCATCATCACCACTCTCACCACCAGCAGCAGCAGCAGCACCAAGCTCAGCCTCCCCAAAGGCTTTCGGAAAAAAATCTCCCCTCTTCATGGGAAAACGATGACTCTCGTGAGAATCCACGCCCAGGGTGCACCCGTACAGATGTGGCTACGGATGACTAATATCGATATTGTAGGAGATCAACAACAAGAACGTCGTTGCGTAGGAAGATCACGAGATATTAGCTCAAAGTGCGGCTCTGCAACCACTTCCTCACGCCGCTGCTGCCAAAAAGGCCTGAACCAGAGGGAGCTCCAGAGAACTCATCTAGTTAGTACGTTGGCCTACGCTCCCACGCTTCTGGCCTGACGTCTCAGAAGAGGCTTGGCAGTGTACGTGTGTGTACGTGTGTACGTACGTGTGTGTACGTGTGTCTGTACTCACCTGGGAGCGGTAGTTTAGCAGTTGGCACGCAGCGCTACGAAACTGGCGACCCGAGTTCGATTCCCGCTCACGGCCAACACCGGTGACGATTATCTGAACCGGTCCTGGGCCTCCCTTAGGTCGACTCAGCCTCAAATGAGTAACTGGTGTGGTGTGTAAACATCGTCACTGGGGAGACAAAGGCGGCCGGGCGTGGTGTTGGCCACCCCTTCGTGTGCCATGCCGGTCTTCATAGGTGCTCGCTAACAGCACTTGCCCCAACAGTCTGTTAAGGCTATAGGGGGGATCTTTGTCTTTGTGCCTGTACCCACCCGTATGGTAGTGTAGTAGATAGCTCACTGCACGATGAACCTCGATTCCACTCGTGACTAATAACAGTGGTGAATATATTCACTGGTGTTGGTCTTCCCCTAGGTCAACTCCGCCTTAAACGAGTACCTGGTATGGGTTGTAAACATGACTATTGGAGAGACAAAAGTGACTGCGTAGTGTTGGCCACCCACCCACCCCCTCGTGTGCCATGGCGGCCTTCAATAGATGCCAGCTAACAGCACTTGCCCAAGTGACCTGTGGAGGCTCTCTGGGGGATCTTTGCCTCTGTTCCCCCCCCCCCCTGTATCCAGGTGAGCGCTCATCATGAGCAGCAGCAGCAGCTCCTTCACCTGTGGCTGGACGTCTCTCTGTACTCTCGTCACGTCCGCCCCTCGTCGATGTCGCCGTCACCACCGTCACTGCGCGCCGGCGCTCTGCCGAGGATGCCCTGCGGTCAGCCGGAAGGTCACAGGTTAAAACGGAGAGGGGCAATGGTTAGGCAACACTTGTCGCTGGGCTGGTGGTCAAGACTGGTGTCAGAGTGGCAGCCAAAGAAGAGAATGATCCGTTCAGGATGCTCACCATGGAGATGGAACGACAAAATCAGCTTTATAAAACTAAACTATTTTTTATTTATTTTGCTAGGTAAGGCCCAATGACCTATATATCTTTTTCAGAAGCGACTTGGCCGCAAATAATAGCTCCGCGAAGTGGCTTATCACGTGTCAATTTCGAGCAGCCAAATCCCCCAAATGCATGTTTTATAAATGTGGAGGGAAAAACCGGAAGACCCGGAGAAAAAGCCACACGACCACTGGAGAGAGACACGCAAACTCCAAATATACAGGCGATGGGTTGGCATCGAACCCAAGACCTCCTGTATACCAGGCAAAGTAGTTAACATCTTGCCACCGTGGCGCCCTCAGTGCCGGTGGTAGATGAATTGCTACATCGCAGGATGGTGAGGACTGTCAGAGATAACGGCAGCTTGGAGAGGCCTTCATCCAGCAGCGGATTAATAATGGCCAACGGTGATGGCGATTTGCGTGGTGGATCTGGAATGTGAACTTCTCGTACGTGTGCATTCTCAAGACACTGCAGTTTTTTTCGAAATGTAATTAAAATTTTTTTTTAAATCACACAGGAAGAACAGGATCACCATTTCTCATGGAAAAGCCCCATAACAAAAGTATCAGCGAGCCTTTCCGGAATAGGCAATGAATCAAAATGCAGCGATAGCTGTTTACCCATGCGGTTGATAACATGCCATTGATATGACCCACGTTTCCCGAACATCGTGAAATGTACTCCCATTGTTCGTTTCATAAACAGTCCAACTGTCGATGTGTTTTCACAAGCTTGTGTGGTGGTGCAGTCTTGATTTTGGCGGATGAGAAAAGTGCTGGAAATTCCACATTCCTACGACGGTTTGGAGGATGGTGGCAATCTCTCTATGGCAACGTAGACCCGTTGACTTCCCACCAAGTGGTACGTATTTTATCGACCCGAAAACAATGATGTGCCGAGTAAACTTCTGCCTGGTGTTCGTTGGGCGCTTTGACCAGCTTACAATTTTCTGGATTATAAGTGAATATTACAGCTGTTTATTATCATGAGTGCAGAATTATTCTTGTAACCGCAGCATAAAACACGTTGGTACGCACAGGGACGAGAGAATGTCTTGGTGAGAACATGGTTAATCATTAGGACACTGCAATTTCCTCTTACAATGGACATTAAGGCTCTCTAGAAAACAGAGAATTCCACTTCAAATTCAATAGCGAGGCTCATAGCCACCCTTCAATCATTTACAAGAACAAGCAGATTCGTTATTACCCCCCCCCCCGCGCCCCGCAATGTGTGTGGTCACCACCTTGTCCTGCTTGACATTCAGAGACACACGTACGTTCCAAGTCCAAATCCTGGACAGGGATCAAGACAATCCATTATCAACCCTCCCGGGTCGATAAAATGGTTACCACTTAGCAGGAAGACAACATGTACGTGTGTAAGTTGAACTGTATGTAGCCAACCATGCTAATCGTATTCTTAGGTTTGACTTTACCGAAAAAACCTAAGAATATGAATCATTGCAGTCACGAAAGCTTCAAATCTAGAATTCATGCTAATCGTGCCAACCACTGTTGTTCTATCCAACAGTGGTTCTATGGATATACTGGATCCCACCGTCGGAATATGGACATTCCACGTTCCTATGGCCAGGACAAGCCTCTCTACAGAGACAACCATTTTTTTTCTGCTCTAGATCTGGCAACACCAGATCCACTATTCAGCCATGGCTGGCTGCTGGGCTGATGCTCACAGCTCTTTGCTAACCCACCTCTCTGGCCTCTCTGTGCCGTGAGGAAGGGCCAGGGCCCCAAACGTCGCCAATAACACTGCCTTTTTAAGGCCACAGTGTTATTGGCAATCGTGTTGTGTTTGTATTGTTGTTGCTGTTCTCTGTGCTTGCGCACCACTGCCAACGCAGTATCACCAAATAATTTGCCCTTGGGCAATTTCTAACCGAGAGTGCATTCAGAGATGTAATTGTTCCGGATGAAAGCATCTAGTCAATACACGCACAGTCCAACGTCCATTGTGCCCCTCAGCCCGACGGCAGACTCACGGACACACGGCAGACAAGACGCACAAGTGAGCAGGCGAGCGGGCAGGCAGAGGGGAAAACCGAGTGCTTGTATGCTAACCAGTGGTCCAAATGGAAATTCTAATTACCGCTATGGAATGTATTCGTCCTGCAGCCCATGTGAATATCTGTGTTGCTTTAGGGTTAAATGGTCCTGGCAAGTGCCGTTTTGGTGTAGCGTAGCACACCGGCCCTCTCCGTCGACTTGTGCCGACGGAGACGTTGTGTACAGTCAGTAGGGGCGCCGTGGCGAGGAAGCCGCGACGTCGACCGCTTGACAACCGCAGCGTCTCGCACAGCGATGGGCAAGCGTGTCCTCACCGAGGGCGGGACGGGAATTTAGAATGACTATCGTGGGGCAAGCCCAACAGTTCTCACACTTGGGAGACTTTAATCTAAAAACTATTTAAACTAAAGTAAAACCTTGGATTGCGAGTAACTTGGTCTGCGAGTGTTTTGCAAGACGAGCAAATTTCTTTAATAAATATTAATTTGATAAACGAGCGTAGTACGTATACGCTTTGTCTGCCGAGCGTCACGTGATCACAACGGAGCCGATGGTTCTTCTCTCTCTCTCGCTGCTGGATCTGCATCGCGAGCAACAGCAAGAGGTTATGGAGGAGATCTCGTCTGAGGAGGAGGAGAAAAAGACGGAGGAATCCCTCACTTCAAATGAGATTAGGGAGATGTGTAAAATGTGGGAAACAGTGCAACATTTTGTAGAAAAGCACCGCCCGAATAAGGCTGTAGCAGTGCAAGCGATGAATCTGTTTAACGACAATGCAATGTCACATTTCCGCGAAATCCTCAAAAGGAGGCAAAAGCAAGTGTCATTGGATAGATTCCTTGTTAAAGTCGCACAAAAAGATTCCAGTGAGCCAACAGATAGCAGTGGTTCCGTTAGTGTCGTCCTACACAATAACACTCCTCCTCCTCCTCTCCCTCGTCTCCCTCACACCAGCCACGATACAATTTAATTAATTTGATTACTTTATATTAAATTTAAATAATAGAAATATAAAAAGGTACTTTGCATTAATCATCTTTATATTAATATTTTTGGGTTGTGGAACGAATCATCCGAGTTTCCATTATTTCTTATGGGGAAATTCGCTTTGATATACGAGTGCTTTGGATAACAATCACGTTTCCGGAACGAATTATGCTCGCAATCCCAGGTTTTACTGTATTTTATATTTGACCAGGTAAGGCCCACTGAGCTATATAGCTCTTTTTAAGAAGCGACGTGGCCACAAATGAAAGATAAACGAAGCGGCTTATCACGTCGACATTTTATAGAAGCCAAATACTCAAGATGCGTGATGTTGATTGTAAATGTGAAGGGAAAAAACGGAGGATCCGGAGAAAAATCTACGCGGAGAGAGACATGCAAACTATAAATATACAGGCATCAGGGTCGGGATCGAACCCATGACCTCCTGCATACCAGGCGAGACAGCAGGTGAACGAGCGTGCTAAGAATTATCCGTGAAATAAAGAAGCGGACAAGATGCCTCCTTCACATATCTGAGAACGATACATTAGAAATTAAAGTATTGTTCGTACATGATCAGCCGCATGGTTCTTCTAATAGACAATTTTGACATTCAGCATCATATCAACAGTTAGTATCGCCAGGTGAAATTTTTTGTATCCTCTAGTACCCGATTAGTGCGGCTGAGATGCTTGTGGAGATGGATAAATATCGTTTGTGGGCTGTATCCAAGTCGTAGGCCTCGTGTAGCTGTGGGCCATATTAAACGAGGTCACAGGCCTTTATTGGACCCGTGGGCTGCAGGATCTCCACCCTGTCTTAGACTGTGACGATGTGTGGGCAGCGGTCAGCGTGCTGCGCTAAGAACCCGGCGACTCAAGCTTGACTCTGGCTCACGGCCAACAGCAGTGACGATCATCCGATCGGTCCTGGGCCTCCCCCTAGGTAGACTCAGCCTGAAATGAGTACGTGGTACGGTAAAGATCGCCGGCATTCATAGGTTCTGCTCGCTAACAGCAGTTGCCCCAACAGTCTGTTAAGGCTACACGAGAGATATTTGTCTTTGTAGTGACCATAACAACACTGGGTGTTCCTGGATCTTCTCCGCGCACGCGCACGCATGCACACATAAGCACGCACACACAAGCATGCACACACAAGCACGCACACAGGCAGAACTATCGCTCTGTCGTGCACGCTGGTATTTTGAATTTTGGCCAAAGATAAAGATTTTTCTATTTTTTGAGATGGTACTGAAAATAAAAACTCGGTGCATATTTTCAGAAGCGCTTTAAGGTCACGAAAAATATAAGTCGGTCACCACCGCGCTGTTACACTCTGTTCCAAAACAACTCCGGTCAACCTCACAGCAGCGGCTTTTGGCTAACCACCGAACAAAGACGGTCACCGCATCGTGGCGCTTTCAGATGCGCTTCTGCGGCCGTCTGGAACGCTCTTCCTTCCGATATTAGGAAGCCACGGGAGCGATGCAATTTTAAATATAATACTCATTTAATTAAAACTGTGTTTTGTGTTTAGTTTGCTGTTCTTTGCCCACACCTATGTACGGTGTGACAGAAGTCCAACAACATACACACAACCTGCCAGGATCGTTAGCATGATTAGGCCAATTCTAGATTTGAAGTTTTCGTGACTGCAAGGATCCATACTCTTTGGTTCTTTCGGTAAAGTCAGCTATATAATCCCTTGTCAGAGTCATCTCTTTGAAGCATACTTCAGCAACTGTTTTCGCTATGTTGTCCCCACCTGATGACGGACGCTTGTGTTGCGTCCGAAACGTCGTGAT